CCAATATTTTTGCCTGGGGAATTTCATGGACAGAGGAGCCTGATGAGCTACAGTCCACGAGGTTGCAAAGAGTCGGACTTAACTTAGTGATTGAGCACAGCTCTGAAGTTCAGTAACTATTCAACACTAAGTCTTAGGCCCCTTCTCCTCTCATCTCCTGGAAGCTACTGTTCTACTTTCTGTCTGTATGAATTCATCACAGTCCATGTTCTTAAGGACCTCACTCCACATGGGAAATTGTGGGAGCACAGAGAAGGGACACTTAGGCCCAGGCTGCTGGGCATGTTGGTGGGAGAATGATGAGTGTCAGAAGAAGTTCTTGGAGGAGGGGTTACCCAAGCTGGGTGGGTATCAGCCAAGATGGGGTTGGGGGGGGGGCGGGTGCAGGTGGAGTGACATCCCTCGATGAGCAGAGGCAAAGGCTTGTCAGCAGCATGGGGTGTTCTGCTAGGACTAGCTTCTCACCCAGGTGTAGGGATTACTAATGATCTCCTAGCTATCTCATCTTTAGACTTTCCACCTCCTTCCACCATCCCTATGCAGTGCAGACTTATTTTTCCCTCCATCTCATTTCTTCTCTTTTTTTTTTTTTTAACCTGTGAACTTCTTATTCAAACATAACTTAAGGATAGCATAACCTATGAAAGTGTGTGATAAAGTTTTACAAAGTGAACTTACCCAGGTACCCTGTACTCAGATGGAGTAACAGAACCCCAGAACCACAAGAGACCCCTTCCAGTGACTACCCACATCCTTCCCTCAAAGGTAACCACAATTCTAACTTATAACAAAACAGAACTTTTGCCTTTCTTGTAGCTCATATAAGTGAAATTATACAAAAGAATATACTCTTTTGTGTCTGGCTTATTTGACTCAGCATTCCTTCTATTTTGTTCTGGCCAATTCTCATCCATGCTTAAATGCCAGAAAATGGTCTTTGTGCTAGTCTTCATCTCAGCCCAGATGATGGAGAGGAACTGGCTACACAAATATCAGGTGGCGGCACAATTCACAATAAACCTCAGGACGAGAAGTTTCTCTGGCTGGCCCCATGGGGCTGCTGCTAGAGAATGGATGGTTTCCATTGAGGGCTGTAATGGAGGAGGGACAGCACTTGCCCTGTGCTATTCTCCTAATATTTCAAGGAGAGTGAAGCTTAGAATTGTTAAACATTCCCAGAAGGGACATAAATCTCATTTTAGCTTGTTTCAATTGCAGGATGAAATGGCTTGTTTTCTTGGCAATTTTTATTTTTCCCTCTCAGTCCCCTGCCCTCTGGTTCTCTGGCTCATAGGCGCATGGCTTCCTTCCTTCCTTCCTCTCCTGGACTCTTTCCCTTTTGGCAGTCACATCTCTGCAGAGTTCAGCCCTCCTCTGGACCCAGGAGCTTTTAGCTAGTCTTGGACTTGGACTCAGGAGGTACAAGGGATTCTGAAGATTAGCTGATTCATTCTACCCTTTGTTTTTTGAACTTTTAAAAAATCAAGACATGATTTACATATAGTAAAGTATACAAGGGCTTCCCTGGTAACTCAGCTAGTAAAGAATCTGCCTGTAATGCAGGAGACACCAGTTAGATTCCTGGGTCAGGAAGTTTCTCTGGAGAAGGGCTGGGCTACCCACTCCAATATTCTTGGGCTTCCCTGGTGTCTTAGACGGTAAAGAATCTGCCTGCAATGTGGGAGACCTGGGTTCAATCCCTAGGTTGGGAAGACCCCCTGGAAGAGGGCATGGCAACACACTCTGGTGTTCTTGCCTGGAGAATCCCCATGGACAGAGGAGCCTGGTGGGCTACAGTCCACAGGGTTGAAAAGAGTCAGACACGACTAAGCAACTAAGCAGAGCACAAAGTATACAAATCTTAGCATATAGCTTAACAAACAAATTAGTCTTTACCTATGTAGACTGCCACATAACAGTCATTTAATCAAAATATAGAACATTCCTAGCACCCAGAGGTTTGCTCATACTTTTTCCCAGTTGATCTCTCCTTCTCCCCTCCCTCCTCGCACCGTGGGAACCCTTAGTTTTCTTCTATCACCAGAGATTGTGCTTGCTTGTTCTTGAATTTCAGATAAGTGGAATCATACAGTATGTGCTTTTTCATGCCTGGCTACTTTTGCTCAACATCAGGGTTTGGAGATTCATCTATGTTGCTGTGGATATCTGTACTTTGTTCTTTTGTTGTTGCTGCTGTTGCCGAATAGAGTATCATTTACTTATCTACTTTTCTTTTCAAGGACATTCGGATAGTTTTCAGTTTGCCCCTATATTAGTTTGTTAGGGTTACCGTAACAAAGTATCACAGAGTGGTTTAGATAACAGAAATTTAGTTTCTCACAATTCTGGAGTTCTGGAGGCTACAAGTCCGAGGTCAAAGCATCAGCAGGGTTTGTTTCTCCTGAGGACCTCTCCCCTTGGCTTGTAGCTGGCTACTGTGTGTTTTCACACAGTCTTTCCTTTCCTTTGTCTTTTTATAAGGACACCAGTCATATTGGATTAGGGCTAACCCCAACGACTTCATTCAACTTAACTACTTCTTAAGGCCTTATCTCCAAATACAGTCACATTCTAAGGTACTGGGAGTAGGACTTCAATATATGAACTTGGCGGGGCGGGGGAGGGTAGTGGTGGAGAAAGAATAAAATTCAGTCTCCAACAAACTACTATGAATAAAGCTGCTATGAACATTTTGGTACGTGTTTTGTACATGCACCATTGTCCAAAGTGGTCAAACCAATTTACACTCCCATCATCATTTGGGGGTACAGTTGCTCTGCATCTTCACCAGGTGCTTCATTTTACAGATGAGAAACAGACCCAAAGAGAGGAGCTGAAGGGCCCACTTTCCATATGTAGATCATGAGCTTGAAGATGCACAGCATGCAGAGGAAGCCCTGTCTCAACCTGCTTTGGGAATTTCTGAAATTCTCCAACATGTTATTTCATTCAATCATTCAGTTACTCATTAAAAAGAATTCCAAAAACCACCCGAGGCTCAGGTCCTACGCTAGGCTCTGAAGTTAAGTGGTTAACAAGAGAGATGTGAAACTTATATTCCACTTATAGCAACAGAAAATTAACATACCAGCTAAAGAAGTAATTGCAGAATGTGGTAAGTGCTAGCAAAGAAACGATGGAAGCTGAGTTAGAGAATAAGGGGGTTGGGGTGGAGAGGGTAAAATCTCCTTTAAATGGGTTGCTCCAAGGGCCTTTCTCTTACAGAGAGGTGAGCCCTGAAGGGATGAGAAGGTGTCAGTTGGACCAGGGGCCAGGGAAAGTGTTAAGGCCGGGAGAATAGGAAAAGTACTAGTCTTGAAGTAGGAACAGCTCTGATGGCCGGGAATGTGCAGGAAATGATGGTTTGTGTAACTGGAACCAAGTAGACAACATAGAGGAGAGACAGCAGATGAAGTCTAGAGGTCAGGCCCAGACCATTCATGGCTCCCAGCTCATGCGGAAGTGTTTGGATTTCATTTTATGGGCAATGGGAAACCATTGGAGGGTTTCAAGGAAATGGCAAACAAAATCCAACTGACCTTAACAACTGTATTGTAGGGGGTATAGGGAGGAAGGAGCAGGCAAACGGAAGGCGCAGTCTTACCCTTGCATGGGGTGAGACATGTCAGTGACTTGGACTTGGGAGGTGGCAGAAGAGACATATTGGGTTGGCCAGGAGGTTTGTTTGGATTTTTTCTGTAACATCTTATAGAAAACCTGAACAGACCTTTTGGCCAATCCAATATTTTGGCAGTAGAACTGACATGATGTGGTGATGGGTTAAATGGGCCTGTTGAGAAGTGAGGATGGATCAAGGATGACTTCTAGGCATTGAGCTTGGGACCTCCAGACAGTATGAAAAGCTCTCTCAGCTATAACCTATCCATCCTAGATTGTACAGCCTTGTCCATCTCAAGCCTCAGAATATAGTAGGTGTTTAATAAACATTCTTGAATGAATAACTGATTCCATGCATGAGTGTTTTAGCACATGAATGGATTCAATAAAGATTTTTTTATTGAGATAAAATTCACAAAACATAAAAATAACCATTTAAAAGTGTACAATTCAGTGGCATTTAGTACATTCACAGGGTTGTGCAACCATCACTTATGTCTTGCCTAAAAACATCTTCATCACCCCCAAAGGAGGTTCCTGCACCCAGTGAACAGTCATTCACCAATCCCTCCTCCTCTCAGCCCCAGGAAACCACTAATCTACTTTCTGGGCCTCTGAATTTGCCTGTTTCTGGATGGTTCATAAAAATGTAATCATACGGTATGCATACTTTTGTGTCTAGTGTATTTCTTAGCATAATAGTTTCGAGCTTCATCCACATTGTAGCATGTATCAGTAGCTCTACTTATAATGATGGAACAATATCCCGCTGTATGAATATATCCCATTTTGTTTATCCATTTATCTCTCAATGGACACCTGGGTTGTTTCCACCTCTTGGTTATTGTGAATAACGCTGCTGTGAACATCTGTGTAACAGTAGTTGTTTGGATGCCTGTTTTCAAGTCTTTGGGGTATATGTCCAGGAATGTGGTTATTTGGTTATATGGTAATCCGTCTTCAACTTTCTGAGGAAATGTCAAACTGTTTTCCAACAGGTCAATAGAAGTTTCTTGAATGAAAAAAAGGAACAGTAGGTGGGAGGCAGGGATGAGGGCTTTTCGGCCCTCCACAAGCTGCACTGGACTGTGCCATTTGCAGGCTGTGTGATCTGGGTCAAATTGCTTAAGTTCTCTGGGCCACCTCTTCATCCTCAAAGTGGGGAAAATAAATCTTTTCTCTGTGAGCCAAAGGACATGTTTTTTCTAAAGTTCTTGGCACAGAGTAAGCCCCCAAGTTAACTGCCTTTCCTTACTCTGACCTTGACCGTATTGCACTAGGCTCTTGATTCTACCTGGCCAGGGGGCCAAGTTCAGCCGTGCTGCAAACTACAACTCCCAGCACGCACTTCTCCCGGGCCGGCTCTCCCAGCGTGGTGCGCATGCTTTGGCAGACGTGGCACCGGGAACTCGGAGGCGGGGAGCAGTTGGGAAGTGGTGGCGGTGGTGGCACCCAGCGAAGCTGCGGTCGCGGGAGCCCGAGTGGGGACCGGAGCCGGCTGGGGGCAGCGGCAGCAGGGATGGCGCGGGTCGTGCCGGCGTGGCTGCTCCTGCTGCTGGCGGTCTGGGTGAGGCTGTGGCTCTGGGGTTCGGGCAGGGACGGCACGTGCGCCCAGCGTGCAGGTCCAAGCTCCCTGCTCCCGGAGCTCCCAGGACTTGCGGGGAGATGATGCCTCCGGGCGCCTGGGTGGGGGCATGCGTGCTGGACGGGCGGGGACCCGGTGGCTGTGCGGGAGGCGGCGGGGCGGTCGCCGTGCCCTCCCTGCGGAGTGCTTCGGCGCTCAAAGGTCGAAAAGAGCCCGGGGTACGGGAGCCCGGGGGCGCTGGGCGATCGTTGGCTGGGGGCTTGCGCGGTGGACACGACTTTACGGGGGTGCAGGTCAGGGGGCGGCCACGGGCTAGGGCGGAAAGCCGGCGGCTTGCGGGGGCGCTGCGCCCCAGACTCGGGGCCCTGCACCTGTGTGAGTTTGGGGTAGGAAGGGGATGCTTGGCACCTGCACTGCCGGAAACCTTGTTTTAGGGCCACCTAGTTCTTGGTTTTGGCCCTGGGCAGCCGGGAAATTGCCGGCCACCATGTGGCCTGCCCTCCCGAGCAGCCCCCGCCGGCCTGACTTGGCTGGGCCGGGTGGGGTCGCCGGGGCGGGGAGTTCTGCTCCTTTACCCAACTGAGGCTGGCTGGAACCTCAGCCACTTTCTGGCTTGTGATGCGGCCTATCGTTTAATGTAGGTGACTTAGTCTCCTCATCCGTGAAATGGGGACGCTTTAGATACCACCCCACCCCTCACCCCCCGCAAGGTTGCCATAGGCTTGTTTAGGTTTGTTTGATACTCTAAATTCTGTTCCCTCAGCCAGTTGGCCAGGCAGGGCTGCTGGACTGTGCAGAGGGGGCCATCTCCAGTGCCACCCCGGAAAGGTGTTTGAACTCAGTCTGTTTTAGGTCTACTTTCTTCTTCCCCTTCCTTTTCCCTCCTGTGAAAATGAAAGACTTGGGACTCTGGCCAGAAAGAAGTTTCATTCAGCAAACATTCATTTATTGGCTGGCTCTGGGTTGGATTTGAGATGGAGGGCAAAACACACATTGTTTCTGCCCTCTGGTGTTGCCCTGAGTTGGGCAGGGAAGTCAGTCCTGTGGGCAAATAAAGACAGAAGAATGAGTACCCATAGTCAAAGTTCTGGGCGCACTACTGAAGGAGAGCTGTACATTAATTTAGAGGGAAGGTCAGCCATGACTTTCCTGAGGGGTGAGTTGAGCTGTCAGGAGCGAGTGTGGGAGTCGTCTAGGCAGTTGAGATCTGCTGATGCCCTCCACTGGGAGGTGTGGAGAGTGGGTAGGTTTGCTGAGAGCGCTAGAACCTGGGAGTCATCAGCAAGGAATTGGCATTTTCTCCTTTCCCTAGGCCCAAGATTGACTTAGCAGGTGTGAGACTGAGGTGTAGAGCCAGTGACAAGTGGTGAGTGGACACCAGGGTGCCTTGCTATGCTAAGTTGCTTCAGTTGTGTCCAAGTCTTTGCGACCCTGTGGACTGTAGCCTGCCAGGCTCCTCTGTCCATGGGATTCTCCAGGCAAGATGACTGGAGTGGGTTGCTGTGCCTTCCTCCAGGGGATCTTCCCAACCCAGGGATTGAACCCATGTCTCCTGCTGCTCCTGCATTGTAGGCAGATTCTTTACCACTGAGCCACTGAGGAAGCCTGGACACCAGGATGGGCCTCTGTAAATATAAACTGTGTCCATGTGATAAGGGTTCCCCAGCTCCTGGGAGTTGATTGGGTTTCTTTGTTCACTCAATATTTACTGAGAGCTGATATGTGCAGGGCACTGGGCTATGACCCAGGAGACGCAAAGAAGTGTGAAGGGGTCTACAGAGATTCATGGACAGGGGTGTACACACATCATATTTTTTACAGTAGCAAAAATATGGAAGTGGCTTACATGCTTAACAATAGCAACATGTTTAAATTACTTGTAGCCCTATCCATACCATGGAGAGTGATGTTTATAAAGGATATATGTATTTGTTAGAATGCTGGATTTATTTTCAAAATATTTTATAATGCTTATGAGGACTATCTAAGTACTGAAAAGTACTTGTGTATGATAATTAGGGGAAAAGCGGGATACAAAACGGAATCCCAGGGTGGCCGAAGATAGCTACAGAAGTGAGGGATTAGCCGAACATCCAAATGTCAACAGTGATTGCTCTGGAAGGTGGAGTTGTGGGTGACTTTTGTTTACTTCTTTGTTTATGCTTTTTTTTATATTTCCCAAGTTTTCTATATGAATGTGCATCAGCTTTTAATCAGAAATTAGTAAAGGAACTTAAAAAAAAACGTTTCTTTGGAGACTCCCAGTGTTCCAACACTATGACGTGGAAAGAGCTGCAGTCAACACTTGGACAAGTTGGTCCCACCCCTTCCAGGCTGGGTATCTCTGCCTGGGGCCTGCAGCTGGGGGTGCCAGGCTGTCCTGTCCCCCACCCCTGCGGCTGCCTGGCCCTTCATGCTGTCCCACTTAGCTCCTCCCTGCAGTCAGCCCTTCCTCAGGCCATCCGTGCTGACTGTCCTATAGTCTCCATCCAGAACTTGGGAGGACACGACCTCACCCTGCTCAAGGGTTTCAGTGTCAGGCTGAGGCCCGGAGCTGCGCTGTGATATTTGCACAGGTTCATAGACAAATGGGAAAAATAACAATGGTAAATTTTTTCTTTTTTTTCTTTGTTTTCATGATTCCAAGTATTTCCAGTTTAAAAACTTAATTTCTCTGCCATGGTGTCCATATTGAGAGGGTGCTCGGGGAGTGGCTTAGAGTGTTCTTTTGGGAAAAAAGAAGAAAGCAGTGATACTGTGTTGTGATTTTTTTTTAAAAGCCTTCAATTGATAAAAATCTAAACTCAAATTTGTATGTTATATGCATAATATATTTTAAACATATTTAAAATATATTTTTAAAAATTATTTAAATTATATTTTAAAATATATCCTGCTACTCTGTGAGCTTCAGAAGTCTGAGAACTATTGACCTAACTCAAAATTCTCTTAGAACTATTGACCTAACTCAGAATTCCCTGATTTTATAAGAGAAAAATGAGGCTTTGAGAGAGAAGGGACTCACCACGTGAGGCCACTTAGTTTGTAAAGATAAGGCGGGTGTGAGAACCAGGCTCCTGAATTACAGATGGGCATTCTTCCCACTCCATTTATGTCATCCAACTCCCACCTGCTTCCTTCCACCCACGCCGCTACCCAGGCCTCTGCCCCTGAGGGTGGCGTGAAGCTCAGAACCTCAGAACCTGGTGGGACAGCGGGCGGAGCTGCAGGGAACAGGAGATGTTTGCCTGCTCTCTCCTGCAGAGCTTTTAATGTATACGTACTTAGGTTCTACACCATTATATATTTAATAGGCTCTTGTGGGCTGGCCAATTATAATGCTGCTTGGAACCTGGAGTGCACTTTTCCCACAGAAATAAGCACTTTACAGAGGAAGTGTTAAAAAAGAACTGGCACATGAGTTGGGGGAATGGTCAGGTGCCTTAGGAGCGGCAAACAGGGTCCTGTGGATTCTGTCCAGGGTCAGCCTCTGGGGCACCCAGTGACCAGAGAAGGGCCCCGGCTTATGCCTCACAAGGAGGGCAGACCTTGACCTCTGTGACAGTGGGGAATCCTTTGTGTGCTGGCACCTCACCCAGACTTGACATGCAGTCACCCCTGGTCCATGTTTGCTGGAAGGAATCAGTGTTGCAGGCAGGGAATCCAAGACAGAAATGTAGGCAATGAGGAACAATGGACCAGGGTGGATGGATGGAAGGATTTGAGTCTGGGGCTGGGGAAATAAGACTAAAAAAGTGAATCCAGTCAAAAAAACCTTAGATGCCTGGCAGAGCTTTCAGAACTGAAATCTGTAGGCAATGGAGAGACATGATGAAAGTTGCCCTTTTTAATAACAAGAACAGTGAGGCCACAGTGAAGGGTTGGGTTGGAGTGGGATAGACTAGACTAATTTTCCCAAAACAACACTTTCTTCCTCTTACTTTCTTCTCTGTTATCTACAAGGTGAAGTTCAGGGTGATGTTACGGAAAGAACATGGGCTTTTCGCCATACTCTGGAGCTGTGTGACCTTGGGCCCTGCCTGTTTTCTTGTTTGTCAGCAGTGGTAATAATACCCATTGTGCAGAGTTGAAAGGATCAGAAATAATACAGGGAGCACCGAGCACAGTGCATGGCACATGGGCACGCCCAATAAATAGGAACGGGCAGGCAACTCAGGTAGTTGGAGAAGTGGTGCCTGGTAGCCAGTGAAGGGCCAGAGGGGCTGTGAGTGGAGGCTGTGAGCTGTGGGTAGGGGGCTGTGAGCTGTGGGTAGGGGGCTGTACCATGGGATTCTTGGATTCTTGCCATCATGGGTCCCTGGAGCCGAGGTCCTGATGGCTCCTTGCCCCTCTGCACTGGGCCCTTCAGAGCCTCTGGATGGGTGGGGGGTGTGGGTGTGTGTGCCCAGAGGGGCTAAGAGTTTAAGCACTCTGCTTTTCCCCTTTTTTCTGAAAATGGATCCTCTCTTGAGACTGGAGATACCAACCACACTGCCTCCCTGGAGGGTTTGTCCCAGCTTTGTGGTTTTGTTCTGTGAGGCTCTTGTGTTTCCCTTGGTGGTTGTAGTAGGTTTTGGAGGCTGACAGTGGACCAGAGAGTGACCCGCAGGATGTAGGAGAGCCTAAGTTCTCCTGCATTACCGGATGTCGATGGTTTTCTTGCCCTCCTTTCGTTCCCCCCACACCTGGCATCGTGGTGGGAGAGGGAAGGAGCACTGTGCCTCGCCCATCCTGCAGCACTAACCTGAGTCTCTGGCTTCCCATTCGACCTGTCGATGAGAATTATAAAACACCTGGTACATTGTAGAGGGCTTGCAAAGTATTTCGGTGTATTTCAGGTCTGTGTAATTCTGCGTCCCACACGAGCTGGGTGAGATAAGCTGGTTGAGTCCTATTACTTCAAGAGAGGGATGGGTAAGTTGACAGAGTGGCGAGAGAGAGACCAGTGATGGGCATGGCCTGGAAGGGGAGGGCATAGACAG